AACGTTTTCTGCAATGAAACGTGAAAATATGGATGAAAACGTCAAAAAAATTGAAACGTAGGGACATTTTCTGCAACAAGTGTCAAAAGTAGGTATTTTTTTTTTCTATTAGGCCTTATTAAAATATTTAAAAAAAAAACTATCTCTCTCTTATCTTCTTCTTCAAATTGGACTGCCACATTAGAAGTGAAAAAATTTCGACTAACCATCGTCCAAATCGTCAAACCTCCATACCGCTGAACTATCTGTTGATGTTTTAAGACTATGAAGAGAGGCGCCTTAGTGAGTATAATCGATTAGTGTGTTGGAAATGACATGAGTCTTTCTGAAATAGGTGATGCCGCCAATATTTACATTCACGAGTTGGGTATTTTAGCTTGTAATTCCTAACAAATCTATTGGCATGAAGGTTTCAAGATTAGATGTTGGGTGGTATGTGTAGAAGGAAGTGAGAGTTTTCCGGTGGTATGGTAGTCCAGCAATTTGGATGGTAGTTTGCTGGAATTTTTTGGCTTCTAAGATGGTTGGCCCATTTGGAGAAGAAGAGAAGAGAGAGAGGGGGAGAGAGAGAGTTTTTGTTATTTTTAATATTTTAATAAGGGCTAATAGTAAAAAATATCCCTACGTTTGACACTTCTTGCAGAAAAACGTCCTAAATTTTCTTTTTTTTTCTTTTTTTTAGCGTTTTCATCCCTATTTCCACGTTTAATTGTGGAAAACATCCATTTCACCAATTTGAAACGTATGGATGTTTTTTACACTATAGACCAAACATATAGACGTTTTGTGCTATTAAGACTTTTAATAATTATTTGGACTCACTTGCATTTTTTAAAACATTTAGGAGTAAGATTGTAATTTATTCTTTATTTTTCTTTTCTTTATTTTTGGATTTTATTTAAATAGGAGGGTATTTTGGTCATTTTATATTAAAAAATGGTGAAAATGATGTTTTTCGCAAAGATGTGGAAATAATGACAAAAATGTCAAAAAATAAAAGGTGTGGATGTTTTCCACAATAAACCTTAAAGGTAGGAGCGTTTTGTGCCAATTACCCTTTATTTAAATATTTAAATATTCTTACGCTTGTAAAAAATTATGTTTGACGGCCTTATAATAATTAGTCACATATGACAGCTAAATTCTTAGGACTGGCCAGCTTACAATCACATCCAGTATTTGTCGATCACAATTAAAGCATGTCCAGAAGATTTTGCAGAATAAAACTTTAAGCGTGACTTTGTCCTCTATTCTGAATGATGATCATAAAATAGTTTAGGGTCGTTCACTTATCAAATTTTAATACAGACCATACCATTTCTTTTCTAATCAAATCTATGGTTACTCATGGGGTCACATGCTTGGAACTAGCCGGCACAAGTATACAAATTGAAGCAAGGTACTATAGTCACATTAGGTGTTCGTTGGTCACAAGTAGTTCATAGCCAATCATATCTATGATAAAATAAAATTAAAAAAAAAAAGGGGTTTTATACTTCTTTTTTAGTTTTGTTAACTTTTTAAGGACTTAAAGTATTTACTTGAAAAGTAACTTGCGTGTAAGGATGTCAATTTGACTCGTTGGTTTGAACAGCCAGTGGCTCGACGTGGCTTGATGAACCATACGGGCTGGCTCATGTTACAGGCCATTTTCTGCTCTTAACAAGCTAATCCTTAAAAAAAATTATATTTGAAAAGCTAGCATTCCTAGCCTAGGCAGGCTAGCATGAAAGCAACACGCTGCTAATTGTTATTAAATATAAAATAAATAAAAAAATCGTGAGCTAACTCCGCTCAAGTCGAAAGTTCGGATCTAATCTACATTTTTTGAGTGAGCAAAAGTTTGACTCGGCTCGGCTCTGGCCAAGAATCAATTTTACCCGAGCTGAGCCTGAGCCGACTCGTTGACATCTCTACTTGCATAAAATTTTTCTTCAGAATTTTACAACTTTAAGCTCCCGTTTGTTTCTCATTTTTGGAAGAATAAGAATGAAAAATATAGTCGTTATGAGCCCCCACACAAAAGATAGAAATTCAAATTTGGTGGTTTGATGTGATGGATAACAATCATATTTTTCATTTTAATGAATTGTGCATCAACTAGGAGTGGGTGCGGTTCGGTTCGGTTCAGTTCTAAAGAGAATCGAACCGAACCAAAATTTTCGGGTATCTAGTAAATGAAATCGTCGGGTCCAAATATAATTATGGAACCATTCGGGTTCGGTTCGGTTCGGTTCCATTCGGTTCTATACTATAATTAAATTTTCTAACATTTATAACAACATTATATAAATACAAGTAATGATACATTCAATGATTTTGGAATGTCAGAGACTAGTAAACTACCTTATTCAAATGATCGCTACGATCAAAGTTTCGGTCGACGGAGGTCACAGCTTCGATCGGAGGTCACAGTGTCGGCCGACGATTGTATAGATTTTGGAATATTAGCAAATTTGCGAGAGTGAGTGCGAGAGTCTAGACAACGTTATGCATTTTAGTGTAGGTGTTTAGGGTTATTTAATTGATTTGATCTTATTTGGCTAAAAAATGAAACAATAAAACGGGTAATTAGGCCAAAAATTAAAAAATTAGAAATGAAACAAATTATTGGGCCACAAATTTGGATTTAGAAATCGTTAATTTGTTAATTTGTTTAGAAAAATTAAAATTAAAATAATTTGATTTACTCAATATAAAAAAAATTAGAAAGATTCGATTTTTATTCGATTATTTGGTTCTTGGTCTAGAACCGAGAACCGAACCGTACCTGTCGGTTCTCAATTCAAATACCCGTTCGGGTATTTAATTTGACAAAAATCGCCGAATTTGGTTCGGTTCGGTTCGATTCGGGAGATTTGCCCAACCCTAACATCAACCTCTCATTTTGTTCCGAATCTTTTGCACAAAAATGATTAACAAGTCACAACATATCAAGAAAATTCAAGAAGAATTGCAATACTTGTTTCATCGCATGTCTCCTTGAAATTAAAAAAAATAGATCGAAACAAGGTAGCTCTGCTCTTCTTCATGCATGGATGATGGAATCAATAGAACATGTATAATAGATCTTAGTCGACATACAGTACTAGGAGTCCAAGAATTTACTCAGACTTGAAACCTTTCAGGGAATATATGATTTTTTTTTTTTAAACAAAAAGTAAAAATATGTGAACGTAAATGTTTAGACCATCGTAGTTGAGAAAATCCAAATAAGCTCCTGTTTGATTTCTATTACCTGAAAACGAAAATGGGAGAATAGTATTTTTTAGAAAAATGAGTGGTTGAAAAGGAAGGAAAAGTTTTCGATTTACGTGTAATATTATTTTATGAAAGATTGTGTGGTTGAAAATAGGAGAGAGAAAAATGGAATGTAATGTAATTTAATTTAATGGGATCAAACAGGGACTAAATGTAAACAATGGATTGAGCATAATTGACTATGGGCCGCAGATCGGCGACCAATATATCTCCTGCCATCAGTTCTGATTGAGTATTGTCAAAAATTAATCAAAAGACCAAATCGAACTTAAACAGTTTCTTGATCCAAATCAAGAATAAGTACTGGGGATCGAGTATTCATCTGAATTTGAAACAACAATTAATGACAGGTCAAATGACTCTTAAAAGACTTTGTTGGAACAGAAACAGCGCCTGTTGGAGATTAAGCATTCCTAACACCCAAAATTTCACAAACAATAAACCAATCAAGAAACAAGAACACAAAATTTTGCTGTGGCTCAGCTTTAATTCACCTATATCTACGTGAGTTCCAGAATTATGAACTGGTATTTGTTAATGTTGTCTTTACAAGAAAAAACAACCAACAATTACAGGGAAGAACATGAATCAAGAAAACAAAGTTGCAAATTTTTGTATACTTCAAAAAAAAAAACCAGAAGAGAATATCATTTTCTATTTTTGCCTGAACCGAAACACCTTTGTGCTTGAATCCCTAGCTAATAATTGCCTAATTCGATACTCGTTCTGCACCATTGTGGAGATCATCAAGGAGTTTATAGTTTCATTGTGAAAAAAAGAAAAAAAAAAAAACTCCAAGCCTGAGAGCTGCTTTTTTCTAGCGGAAAATGTTTAGAATATTCAGTGAAATTTCAATTAACCAGCGGAAACATGGCATTCCAATATCTCCTGCTTCGGCAACACAAGGAACAAAAGAGGTTTTTTTTTTTTTCCCCAACACACGAATGAATCAAGAAGTTGAACTCTTTGAGTTGTCAGATATTTTAAACCAGAAATTGCTTAATCATAAATAGCAATATGTGTTACTGCTTGCAGCTTCCACTTATCACTCAAATTCAATCATCTTTTCATGAGATATATAGTAAGAAGGGAGATGTGTGCAAAAACAGCACCCCAAAACTGACACAAGTGGGTAGGTAGAGAATACCTAGGGGCTAGGGACGCGAGACAACTCTTTCTAAGGAACTCGGCAAAATAGCCCCAAACTTTGGGAGAAGGGGTGCCTCCTCACAAAGGGGGTCACTGTGACAAGGCACGGCCGACTGTTTATAAAAAACATAGGTCTTAGCAAAGTCATAAGACTATGTACGAGGGCTGATGCTTGCCCAAGTGCCGGAAAGTCAAGGGAGTTGGTGACCTGAAGACAAGGCTCATATCACGCTTTTAGCGACATGGAGGCTCGAATCTTTTCTGAACTTCAACAAACCTGACTATGTCATGCTACAAGGGGTCATTCTCCAGATGAGGCAAGGCAAGTGATTACGTAAATCAGAGAACAATTCACACAAACATTCTGCTTGTTGTAGATCAGAGAACAATTCCACAAATTTACTTAAGAGTTTCAATTTCCAATATATATTCGAAAATTAGGAAAAAGGCTATTGTGCAGACGACCAACTTCCACTATTTTATTTTTTTAACTAGATCCAAGTTTATCTTAGCAGATGATCAACTTCCACTATTTATTTATTTTAGCTAGATTCAAGTTTATCTTCACAAAATAATACTTACAAAAATCATAAACCAATAAGTATCAAGTTGCTCCAATAAGCATAATCAGAGGCAAAAACTATAACCAATAAGTATAAGGTTGCTCCAACAAGCATAATCAGAGGAACAAGTACTGAAATCTCAAACCATTTCCTGCATCTGGAAACTTTAGTTTATCATTTCAAAAGTCTAAACAAGATCCAACGATAATCAAGAACAGTAAACCAAATCGAGGGTTTTAGAAATCTACTCCAATTTTTCATGGGAATTGGAAGATATTAGAGGATGAACCTTCTTGGCATTAGAAGAAATCGCTTTGATCGCTGATTTCATCGAAGCAGTAGCAGAATTAACAGCAGCTTCAATATACTTATTTGCAGCAAAAGTAGCCACTTTTTCCAAAGAATTTCCCATTTTTCTGGCAACCCCAGCGACATTAACCAAACTCTCATATTCCCCCTTTGAAACCCTATTCATTTCCTCCTCGAAAAGGCGAAATTCTTCCATAGCACTCTCCATGACTGAATCAAGATACCCTTCAGCTTCGTTCATGTAATTCTCTGATTCTTCAAATTCTTTTTCCTGTTCAAGCTCGGCCGCGGCCCATGCCTTGTAAGCCTCTACTTCAAAGAGTTTCATCAGATCTTCAATTTTAGATGGATCAAAGTTCTTATCTTGGAGTGCCTGATCTGAGAGGAATGTGAATTCGGAGAAAAGGGCATCCATTTTTTTCCTGGTTTGTGAGTGAGAGGGTCGTGGGCTGGTTCGGTGATTTCTGAAGAAAAAGCGTGCGCACAGTTTCGAAAATCACACAAATTTTTGGGGTAAAATAATGAAAGACACACTTTGAAAAGGCCATCAGATAAATATACGATTAATGCTATTTAGCCTGCTGAAATTTTCAACGGCATTAATATGTTATTAAATGATAAGTAAACTTAAATGATATATTTTAATTTCACATTTCATTTAATATATCATTTATTACCATCTAAATTGATAATGCAACTTCGGTTGAACTACGTAGCATTATTAAGCACCAAGTTTTGTATAAATAGAAAAGATAAATGGATGCCCCCGGGACACATCTCCAAGTGGTAAAAGGGGAAAGTGGAGAAATCTAGCTTTGCTTGAGGCTGCTGCGTCAAGGGTTCGAATCCTGAAATATGAATTTGGCTCTTGGGTAAGTGCAAGTGTACAAACAAGTGTACAAACAGCCTTCCACCTTGTACCCTTGTAGGCATAACCTGCGATTTACCTCCCTCACGATACTGCAGGACAGGAGTGATGGGGGATAAAAGGCCATCAGATAAATATACGATTAATGCTATTTAGCCTGCTGAAATTTTCAACGGCATTAATATGTTATTAAATGATAAGTAAACTTAAATGATATATTTTAATTTCACATTTCATTTAATATATCATTTATTACCATCTAAATTGATAATGCAACTTCGGTTGAACTACGTAGCATTATTAAGCACCAAGTTTTGTATAAATAGAAAAGATAAATGGATGCCCCCGGGACACATCTCCAAGTGGTAAAAGGGGAAAGTGGAGAAATCTAGCTTTGCTTGAGGCTGCTGCGTCAAGGGTTCGAATCCTGAAATATGAATTTGGCTCTTGGGTAAGTGCAAGTGTACAAACAAGTGTACAAACAGCCTTCCACCTTGTACCCTTGTAGGCATAACCTGCGATTTACCTCCCTCACGATACTGCAGGACAGGAGTGATGGGGGATACTTAAGGTTAGGGTTTAACCTTTTTTTTAGAAAAGATAAATGGATTTAAGAATATGATTGACAAGTGGCTATAAATACTTGTCTTCACTCCAAGTTAAAAAAACAATTTTTTATATGACTTAATTTCATCTATGGTCATCGAATTTTTCGTTCACCATGAAAGTTGAACTCTCCACTTAATGTTACCATGACCATTGAACTCTAATTTGCCCTATTTGATGGTCATTTTTGGAAAAATATTGTTTTAAATAGTGAATTTTTAGAGAATGTGTGATCAAAAAGTTGGGAAAGATTTTAAGTTCGCATGTAGAATATTTTATTGTATGAATGTATAATTGAAAATGATTATTTAGAAAAAAAGAGTTTTAAAATATTGAATGACAAACATGGACTTTGTTTCACACAAAGATAGGATAGATAGCACTGGAGGCCCTAACCTTCGAACCTTTTGATGATGAGTCCTTGATGTGATCCAGGAAGCACAAGTACCAAAGTCAAGTCCAAAGTCGAGCCCGAGGAAAGATCCGTTGATAGTCGAGGGGCCGATGACGCGATCGAGGGCCAAGCACATGAAATAGGCGATGAGATTGCTCGTCAAAGCAATGGTTGATGAAACAATGTTCGGGATGCAAAATGAAGCAAGTTTTGCGTTGGGGACGAAGGCCGAAGAGTATTTATTGGATCAACGTGTTTAAAACTGAAGAGAACGGAGCTGGAGCATTAAACCATGCGGCCGCACATGTCTAAAGTCCTGCGATCGCATACACCCAGCAGAAGTCCCAAAGTTGCAGACCAATTGCATTATGCGATCGCATGCTCTAAAGCTATGCGGCCGCATAGGCCAAGTCTGAGACAAATTTTTCCAAATTTCGCGTTTTTTCCTTATTTTAATAAAATTTCATTATTAGTAGATTTTTACCATAATTAGACTATTGTGGATGAATTTTGCATTATTCTTAAATATTTTTCCTAGTTTACTTAGGTTCTCTAGAATAGCATAAATACTTTATTCCTTATTGAAAAACATTACAACTCTCATATTATTGAATATTATTCGTGAGGCATTAATTGCTTTCTCTCGT